CCCCCCCCCCCCCCCCCCCCTTGTATATGCCCCTGCATCATACATACCATTGACAGTTGGATTTATTTTCAATGATGTTTGTTTGTTTTAAATTATATGTTTACGTAATACCTACTAGTATGTAAGCTTAACAAATTGAATTAAATTTTAATTATTTTAATGTATGAAAAAAATAATAATTTAGTTGGTATAAAATTAAAATATATTTATGTTTTTGATATCTACAGCTAGTTCAGCAAATACAACAGGTTCTATATCTGATGAATCAAAGAAAAGTGAATACAAAAATGTACATAATGATGATTGTATGTACTTTTATTATAAAACAATTGATTTAGTAAATTTAAATTTTTTATAGTTAATATTATATTTTTGTTAACAGCTAGTCCAGCAAATATAATAATTTCTTTATCTGATGAATCAAAGAAAAGTGAATACAAAAATGTACATATTGATGATGGTACTTTTAGTAGCTTTTTAATCATATCGTATATTTATATTAATTATATCATTTATTTAATTTTTAGTTAATATGGTAAATGTATATGATCCTGTTACTCCATTACCAAAAGATCGCTTAGAGTTTCAAAATCGAATTTTGAAAGGACGATACAAGCCTATATTAGATCTTTATCCACGGTCAACTCAAAACTCTAAAAGAAGGTCATTTCAGAAGAATTGGTACGATATTTTTGATTGGTTGGAGTATAGTGATGCTTCTGACACAGCATTTTGTTTTCCATGTCGTTGCTTTAAAGGTAATGAAATAAATAGTTGCTACAGTGATACAACATTTAGTAAAAAAGGTTTTAAATCTTGGTATCGAGCTATTGATGCATTTAAAAAACACCAATTGTCTAAATGTCACTTAAACAGTGTAAAAGCATTAAATGATTTTATTCATTTAAAATCAATTGATTGTGTACTTGATAAGAATCGTCTCAAAGAAATAAGTAGAAAAGAAAAAGATCGTTTAAAAAACAGAGAATTTATGAAACGTGTCATAGATATTATTATTTGTTTAGGAAAGAGTGGTAGACCATTTCGTGGTCATGATGAAAAATCTGATAGTTGTAATCAAGGACTTTTTAAGGAATTAGTAATATTACTGACAAAATACGATATTGTTCTTCAAAACCATTTTCAAGATGTTCAAAAAAATGCTTTGTACACAAGCAATCGAATACAAAATGATTTAATAACATCAATTAAAAATGTTATTTTACAAAATATAAAAAACAGTTTAAAAAATTCATTTATATCAATACTAGCTGATGAGACGACAGATGTTGGACATTCTGAACAATTGTCAATTGTTTTTAGATACTTTGATGATGAAAAAAATAGACCAGTGGAAACTTACATTGCATTGAAACAAATGAAATCTGTTACAGCTCAGGCTATTTTTGATGTTCTTCATGAAGTACTTATACTTATGGGAAAAGATTGGCATTCAGTTTTATCAGTATGTTTTGATGGTGCTTCTGCTATGGCTGGTAAAATAGGAGGTGTGCAAACAAAATGTAAAGAAAAAAATTCAAGTATTAAATATGTTCACTGTTATGCACATTGTCTAAACTTAGCACTTGTTGATTCAGTATGTGATAAATCAAAAAATTTCAAAAGAAACAGATTGGTATTCAATTTTTTTGGAACCATACAGTTTATTTATAATTTCATTGAAAGTAGTGCAATGAGGCATGCAATTTTGGAAAAAATATCTAAAGATGTAGGAATTAAGTTAATTACATTAAAGTCATGTTCTATTACTCACTGGGCGTGTCGAGCAGAAGCAGTCAAATCAGTACTGAATAATTATGAAGTTTTGCTTTTAGCCATAGAAGATATCTGTGAAAGTAGTAGTGTTCCAGAAATGTGTGCTAAAGGCATGGGATTAAAATACCAATTAAAAAATTTTGACTTTATTTTTGGGCTGTATTTATTGAATCCCATATTAAATTTAATATTAAAAACAAGTTCTATATTACAGTCACCAAACATGGATCTTGTATTAGCAATAAATAGTGTACAGTCTTTAGTTCAAAATTTGGAAGCTATGAGGAATAATGATGAAGACTTCAAAAATATTTATCAACAATCAGTTGAACTATGTAATAAAAATGGTGTACAAGTACCAGAAGTAGTTAATAGAAAAGTGTCAACTCGTATAGACAAAATGTCAAATTCTCAATTTTTTTTTAAAACAAAATATGATGAACTTAAAATAACTGTGTACAACCACTTGTTAGATGAACTCATTTCTGGTATCAACACAAGATTTAATCAAGAAACTGTAGAATTAGTTCAATCTGTAGCAGGAATGATTCGTCTAGAGTCTACACCTGAGATGATTTCAATTTTATCAAAATTTGCTAATGTCCCCGAAGAGATATTAGTATCTGAGATAAAGCTTTTAAAATATTTACCCGTTACCGATGGTAAACCGAATACTCTGAATAGTAACACTAATAATGAATCAATACATGAATGACTAGATTATATGAAAGCAAATAATTACATTAAATCATTTAATGGATTTTTTACTGTACTGAAATTATTCAGTGTAATACCAGTTACAAGTTGTTCTTGTGAACGGGTATTTTCTAAATTAACAATAGTAAAAAATAAGTTAAGGAGTACTATACATCAAGACCGACTTAATAGTTTATTATTAATGTTTATTGAACAAAAACTAACATCTAGTATTGATATGGTCATTGATGAATTCAAAAGTATGGGAAATAGGAGAATTCATTTATAATTCTATTTAAAGAATTATAAATGAATTCTCCTATTTCCCATTTTTGGTATTTAAACCAAATGTAATATATACAATATATGTAATATAATATTATGTATGTACAATTTTTTTGTTCATTAAACCAAGTTATTTCTTTTTAATTTTTGGTATTGTGTTTTCTTCTTTTTCTCCATAATATTGTATTTATATCATTTTTATTTTTAAAAATATATGTCTAGAAATTAGCTTATTAATGTTGAGTGCACGTACAACTTGATTTTATTTACTCAGTTTTTAATTTACAATTATAGTATAAATTAATGAGTTTTAAAAAAATATATATAGCCATTAGGGGCACTGTCCAAGTATAGGGGCATTAATTGTTAGCTAGGCTCCACCGGAAATTGAAGTCTGCGCACGCCTATGAGTATAATATAGTTATTATAGTAATATGCCAACAACTGTACTCATTTCATTAATATTAATGATTATAATAAGAACTTTTAGATTATATAATAAATAATTGATAAATAACTAACATTAATATTTGTTTTAGAAAAAATTTCAATGTTTCACGTTTTTATGAAATATTGCATGCTTTAAGCACTAAACAAGAGTGGTAAATTGTAGATTTATCAGTGTTATATTTTAACTTGAGCTATACAATTTTCTTGTCATATATTATAATTGTTGAACTATCGTAGTTTTATATTAGTAAAATAAAAAAAATCTCAACTATGATAATATCCATGTATTCTTATTTCTTATCTTAAAATATTTTAAAGCTTAGTGCTTACAGAAATTTAATTATAATTATTCTAAAAAAAAAGCGTCTGGGGGGGGGTATATCCCCATATCCCCCCAAAATTAAGCCACTGGCACGCACCACAAACCTTAAGCGGAAATTTGGTGAAATTTATGGGGGGATGGGGGCTGAGCATTATTTGCTTATTATACCTATAGAGACCACTGCAATTATTTATTTCAACAAGGCAATTTATAAACTTTGACAATTTGACATTTTTAATTAATAATTTAAACAAAAAAACAATTAGGTGTCTTATCTTAAACATTTTTGGAGTAGGTATTCTAAATAGAAATTATTAATTAATTATATAAAATAACCTATACGGGTATTATTACATATTATTAATATTACATTAATTGCAATCGTTCCAAATCATGACCAGAAGTTTGTAAAATCTTACGAATTTGATTTAATTTTTATCATAGAATATTTTTTTTAATTCGGTTATTAAAAATGCATTTTATAATCATAATAATTATTGTATTTCTAGTCACTTAACAATTTAGAGTTAGGGGGGCTAAGACTTGTACTTTATGTTTCTGGGGGGCTTAGTTCCCTTAAGACCCCCCCCCCGATTTCCGCCTATGCTACACACACAAACGCAGAATACAAAATAGTTTATTTTTTGTCGTATACGATATGCCCTCACTAATTAAGAATAAGACATAGTGTAAGTATTTTTAATTTTAATAAATATTATAATTTATAAGCTTCATACACATATAAAATAACCCCCTCTTCACCGAAAATAAATCGTAGTTACACCATTGCTTGAAATTAACATAATGATAGTTTGGTCTAAAAAACTGTTGTACAGTTATATAAGAAATTTATATTTTATGACATAGGCAGGTAACAAAAAATATAAATATTTCATTAGTGGAGGGGGGCTCAGCCTCCCCTCTGCCCTCCATCAATGAAAAATAATATTCTTCCTTGATTACTTAACACCCATATTAACCAATATTAACCCGAATAATAACGGATATTAACATCCAAACGTTTGCTTAAATGTTATATTGCGATGTTTAAACACCCGAATATATTCAACACCCGAAACCCGAAAAAATTATTCGGGTGCAAAGCCTTGGTTCTTTTTATTTAAATTGTTGTGAATCGTTAGTGTTATCACTTGTATTGTTTTTTTAAAATACCTAAAAATAAATATACGTTCACTGTACCTACCTTTGCAGATAAACTAATGCAGTAATAGAATGAATATTTTCAATCACAAATATTTTATGTACAGACCAAAAAAAATCGTTTTCTCGTACTGTCAAAGCAATAATAATTCTAAAAAATAATTTTAAAAAATATTCTTGTAATGATTTTTATGATTTTTTGTTAACACAACCAAAACTATTAAATACAATCAGTTCATCAAAAAAATATAATGTCAAAGAATGTAATGAAGAAAATTATGAACAATCGACCTCAACTCAATAAAAATAAAGAATATTTTAAGTAATTTCTTTCAATCTCACAGCAAAAAAAGAATGCAAATCAATGTTTAATTAAAACATCAAACTAATTAAAAATTATTTTTATTGCATATAATATAGAAGTTGAAAAAAATGTTGTCTTTTTTTTTAGAGAACATATTTATCCCTTTTTTTTCATAAATATGATCACCCTAGGTTAAGCTTAACATAAATTAAAGTTCTAAATTAGTTATAAAAGAAGTAATTATTTTCTGTCAAAAATTACACATACCAATAAAAACAGAACAAAACTGTGCTACAAAATTACAAAAATATGATGAGAATGTCTCAGTGGAAACAAAGAAAAAAAAATGATAACCGCCTTAAATACCTGATGACGAATTCAGATAACAATACATTCTCAAACCAAACCAAGTAACTTCAATTTTATACCAAGGTCTTGAAGATTTTATATGCTCAGAATCTACGAAACTATTTAATCGCTTTAAAATAAATACAAATTTCTTTAATATTGATCCGTCCTCTTGGAAAAATAATGACAACAACAAAAAAGTTGCATCTATAATTAAAAATATACCTCCTATGAATGATGTTGCCGAGTGAGGCGTCAAACTAATGACAAAATTACTATAGATGAAAGCCAAAAACAATATTTACTGCAACTTGTATACGACTATCGCATAACTTATCCAAATTCAAGAAAAGGAAAACTAATTGAAAAGCAAAATTACATGTAAAGATTATAAATATTATATTGACAGTCATTTGTCACTAATTTATATATTTATAACACTATACTTGGCTCCCGTTTGTTATTTAGCCATGGTAATAGATTTAAAATATTATTAAATTAATAACTTGTAGTTTAATATACCCCATAGGATATTAAAATTAAAAATAATAATAACAGTATAATTATAGCAGAATTATATAATTTTAAGCTATACATAGATGTTTATAGTAAAATATAGGGAAATTAACCAATTTTATTGTTTGTCCGCCGAACAACCACTTGCATTAACCGCTCGATAAACAGGGGCCCCAAAATTTCAATTTGTCAAATTACCCGCTACAAGCGCCACTGCTGATGTACCAAATACTGATATAAATGTCTATAATGTAGTAACAAGTTTTAATGAAGTATCGCTATAATCTTGTAAAGATAATAAATTAAATTAATTAAAAACCTTAAATCTTGTACATTTTGTAAAAGAACTGAAAGATTAATATAAGAGAAAAAACCTAGATCATATAAATTAAAACGATTTATGTGTTACTCCTAGTAAAAAATTTAAATTATCAATGGTTATAAATGATCAACATTTTATAAAACGTAGATAAATTTATCAAATTAATAATTTTTTTTGTATATGTATTTCATCACTAGAGCGCAGCAGAGCGCTAGTTCCTGGTTCGTTCCACAATAAAAGCGTTTTTGTAAAAACTTTTTACTATATAATACGGGATTCATCATAGAGTCACAAAGGGCTGGTCCATGATGTAGATAATACCTAGGTTTTATATACATCATTGTATTTTGATACTTCGTTGTGGCCTGGTTTCATCATAGAACATGTTTATGTTCTATGGTCAATTATTCTAAGACCGTGATCCCAGACAAGTGACGACGCCGTATCAGTGCAGTGATAGCGACGGATTAGTAGATGAGCGTTTCGGGAGCAAAATTGCGCGACCAATCAGAGGCGTTCACATTTCTTATCAATATTTGTTAATAATATATATTTCAAATAAAATAAAAATTCAGTAGATTGCATTTACCATGAAGAATTGCGAACGTGTTTTATTCATTTTTCAATTTCACGCTATGGTCTGACTCTATATGAGATTTCAACTTTTCTTAGTTTGTGAATGATTTATTGCATGATAAATTAGGGCATTGTACACTATTAATATTTTTGGATTCCTTAGAGCCACAAGTAATTGAGTGTCGCTTTAAAGTTCTTTTGTTACTAAAATATTTGTTACACACTAAGCACTTATTAAGCTCTTTCGTGTTACTGGTTCCAATTTCCAACTCTTCCATATTATTATGTATAAATAATTAAAAGTAGGTAATTAACAAAAATAATAGTTAATAATAATTAAGTATAACGCCTGTATGATTGAAGATTATATCACAGAATAAAATAATATCAATATATTATCACCACAGAATATAACAATATCACCTTATATTTTGTATAAAGAATGATAAGAAATGTGATTTTAACCTTCGACCATATAAACTATATAAACTAGTTTATATGGTCGAAGATTTTAACAAATATTGATAAGAAATGTGAACGCCTCTGATTGGTCACGCAATTTTGCTCTCGAGACCATAGACATAATATATTATGTCTATGCCCGAGACGCTCGTATTAGTAGAGATAAGCATTCACGGTGATAACAAACAACCATTGACACCACTTACAAGCGGTACATCTACACTGTACTTACTGCCCTAAAAATATTTGTAATCGTACCTAATACAGTTGTAGTGAACAGTTATTTTTTACTATGGAAAATATCATCCACCGTATGAAACAATAATCGATTTACATTATTGTCTGTGTTTGAATTTTACGCTTGTACCTCCGAATCATCTCCAACAAACGCACTTAGTCTCGTCATACGTAATTGAAATTCATTTAAAAAATATATATATATATATATATATATATATATAATAGCCAGACCAGTGAATTTGGGTAAGTTTGACATTTTTTACCAATATTAGCCAATTATGATTTACCGTTGGTTAGTTAATTAGTTCAATAGCATTCTTCTTTGGATATACGGGCTATATTTATATATATATAGGGATATATAGATCATCTTGTCAATCACCCTCCCTTCCATTCATCTTAACTTATGCTAGCATACTCCATAAAGTGGCTACATATGGCAAAATGTGTCTGTAAATGCTTTAATGAACTACGTAGCCATTTTAAGTATAAATTGTAAAACATGCATAATGCATATGTATAAATTAATTTTGAATATTTTTTGTATATGTATCTATAAATAAAATTATAAGTAATTCGATAAAAATACTAATTACAAACACATTTATTTTGATGTGCACGACTTTTCAATCACTCTGTATTATATATTTTGTATATGTAAATTTAAAATTATTATATAATGTTTATTGATTATGATTAAAATTGTATTTTGAGATAAAATCATCGAAATTAAAAATTAAACAATTCGACATTTCCAACAAACATCTAAGCCAAGACATATAGACATTTTTTTAAGTTCCCTCAATATAGATTTAGATCCTAGTAGTTTTACTACAGAATAGGTTAGTTTTTACCATTCCATAGAAAACTCTATAATTGACAAATTCCCTTACTGAAATTTCTTAACCTATCTCATTATTTTCAGTTAATACTGACCTTAAGTATTTAAATTGTCTAAAAATAGTTTTTTTTGTATTCAGCGATGGGTTATGTAGTGTCTCATTTACCTAAGATTGTGTACTTTGTTTTGGTTTCATTTATTTGTTGTTCTTTTCAAGAGCATATGGTGTTGTATTTGTGTAGGAATTCAGAAAAATGTCTTCAGAAAATGGGAAAAGTGGAATTCCATCCAATGAGGAAGTGATAAACGAACTTACAAAAGACTTAAAGAATTCAGCTATCAAAACCGATTCTTGTGGTGATAATGACGTGTCACATGTGAGTGAATTGGATTCAGAAGCTGAAATTCCTTTAAATGAAGAAAATGAAATTAGAGATGAAGATTACATTAATGACAAACTATTAAAAGAAAGAGATGAAAAATTATCAGAAGAAGAAAAACGGGTTGGTTTATTATAACTTTGTATTGATTATAGATAGAGCTCGGAAGATGTTGCACTTGCATGTTTTTATTGTGCTATTCAAATTATTGCTAAGTAAGCTTGAAATTATTTTCATGGCTCTACAAAAAACATATTAAAAGTCTATTGTGCATATTTTTGCATATTTAATGGTTTATCAATTTTTTAAGCGCATATTTCTTAATTTTGTCATTTTTTAGAGTATATTTAATGATGATTGATGCATTGATAATAACATTCAAAAATATTAGTGATAATAAAATATATATTTGAGAGTTTTCATTACATTTGTACCTATTATGATTCTCAAATCCCAGGTTGTCACAAAATGTTAACAATTTAAAGATTATCATTGATAGCATTAATCGGATAATCGGCAATCTCTTAATTTTTTAAGATATTAAAAAATGGTTAAATGTTCAATGCAATAGTTTTACAGGTAAAAATAAAATGTATTTCTTACTTATGAATTAGGTTCTTAGCGTTTTTTATAATTTTAATTTATGCTTTACAGATATATATAATTTAATGGGAACATTTTAAAAGAAAATTTCAAATTTCAAGCTATTTATTTTATTTTATTTTATCTTATATATTTATACCTAAAAATTATGTTGAGCTTAGTATAATATACTAATAACATTTATACTGTTATTATGTACAAGTATATTTAGTGAAATATCTTTATTTATAAAAATGTTTGTGTTAAAAAAATGAAGTGCATATTTGTACTTTTTAAATGCATTAAATCCGAGCCCTAATTATAGAATATAAAATTAACAGTATAACATTATTTTATCACTTCAAAATATATATTTTTTTCAATATTTACAATACTTAAAAGTTATCAATTTTCATGAGTCTTATTATCAATAGTGATATTTATGACCTTTTTTTTTTTTAACTATTATAATAATATAAAAACTTAATATTAAATTGTGAATCACTTTTCTCTTTTATCAGTAATAATTTTTTTTAATTTTTTTTTTATAGATTACCTTATTATTTAATGTTAATTTTCAATTTAAAAGATGCTGATTTGAAAAAATTTAAATTACATTTTCAGTATTGTATATTTTGATTTAAAAATAAACTATTGATTTCAAATTAATTTAGTTGAAATATATATTTTTATTCTAAACATGAAATTAAACAATCCTTTAATTTTTTTTTTTTTTTTATACATAGAATTTATTACAAGAAGCTCTAGGCTTGAAAAATGAAGGCAATGTTAAATTTAAAAATCAAGAACATGAAGAAGCTTCCAAAACATATACGAATGCATTACGCATTTGTCCTTTAATGTTTCCTAACTATAGAGCTATATTTTTTGCAAATCGAGCTGCAGCCAAATCCAATATTGTATGTTTTCAATTCTTAACATATTATTGAACATTAATAGTTGATACATTTAATATACTATTGACATATTTACAGAATATAGAAAGTGCTATTCAAGATTGTACTCGCGCTATTGAATTGGATCCTAATTATTTAAAGGCATATATCAGACGTTCAAAATTGTTTGAACGTAATGATAAACTTGATGAAGCATTAGAGGATTTAAAAAAAGTACTTGATATTGATCGAAACCATGTTGAATCGGCATACAATGCTAGAGTACGATATTATAATTAAATATTATAATTATTATTTTTATTAATTCTTATTTGTTTCTAATTGTAGATATTACAAGAAAAGATAAATGAGCGGAATGAAAAACTGAAAACCGAAATGATGGCTAAACTTAAGGATTTAGGTAACATGGTATTGAAACCATTTGGTTTATCAACCCAAAATTTCCAAGTCAACCAAGACCCAAATACCGGTGGATACTCAATAAACTTTAAACAATAATTACAATTAAAATATTCTGTTTTCTCATTATTTTTGTACATATTATAAATAAAAGTATTTCAAAGATAAAAACACATATTTTGATCAACTTTTATTGATAAATAGTAAGAGCTATTTTAAGAATAAAAAATAAAAGTTAAGTAAATGCACAATTAGGTATGTTAAGTCCAAGAAAATAACATAAAGAAAAAACCTATCACTAACATAAGAATAGTTTTTTTCATTGGAACGTAACATTAAAAATATTGGGAAAGAAAACTCTCAATCATAGTATTAATGAAAAATTCCTTGTATGACTATTAATTGTAGTGGTTGTATTTGTTTTACGTTCTACAAATACAACTAGCCAATTTTTACATGAAGAATTCTTCCGTCGAAACGGATAATGTAAGTCATGTTCTAGCTACTATAGGTTGATCTAGCATAGTGATTTCAATCTGTTAATAAAAATTAAGGATATATTTCTGAAATATGAAAAAAAAAATTAATTAAAAAAGTAAACAGTTAAATACAAGGTCTGGCTATTATATAACGAGACTGCCCGTATATAAAGGGCCGTAGACGCAGTGGCATAGCCAGGATTTTTAAATGGGGGGGGGGCTAACCACTTTTTTTTGGATAAGTAAGGTAAGAGATGATATGAGAATTCACCCTTAACCCCCCCCCACCATCTACCACCAAGTTTCTAAACGTAATTCAAGCATTTTAGTATAGTTTTAAAAATATTTATTAATATATAATTCATAATAATAATTTTGATTTCAGTGTTCAGTCACTTGCTCCATTCTGACAGCTGCATTCTCTTAGGCGAATTTCTAGCAAATTCAGTTATTTCACTTTCATCGAATTGCTCTTTTTTATTTATATTAGCCATAGCTAACCCATTCAGTCTGTTTTCCGACATGGTGCTTCTTAAAAAAAATTTTAAGCAATTAAGTGCTGAAAACGTTCTTTCCGGAGTGAAAGAGGTAACTGGTAACGTGGCGAATAATTGTAAAAGTATTTTAATGTTAGGTCGAAGATTGGTGTGATGAGAGAGTGAATCAAGAGCAGAATTCGGTTTTGGAATAGTATTTTGACTCCATTGTTGCCTCCATATGAACAGGTCAGCTCTGATTGTAGATGAGGTATCATCATGGAGATCTTGGACATATATTTTAGCAGCTTTTATAATATTTTTATCGTCATACATATTTAAATTGGCCGGAATAAGTCCTTCAAGTGGCATAACATCAATAAGCCTTTGATTAAAATACATATAAAAATGGCCCATGGGGGAGGCTATAGCCCCTCCCCTTGGCTACGCCACTGCGTAGACGGGTGGGGAAAAAAACTATTAGTGCGTTGGGTATCTAAATATCTTATCTATGCACTTATCAAAATACGTTTTCGTCACTATTTTAGTATTTGTGCAGTAGTAGTTAGAAACGAACGTGTTTTTTTCTCGTGCCGAAAACCATGTGTGACAAAAAAACAGGAGCAACGTATCAATCTCAAATTTCTCGTTAAATTGAAAAAACTCCGACTGAGTGTTATAAATTGTTGCAAGAGGCCTATGGGGACAATTCTCTATCTCGTGCTTGTGTTTTTGAGTGGTGTAAGCGCTTTAGTGAGGGCCGAGAGAGCACTGAAGATGACCAGCGCCCAGATCGCCTTGTCACTGTTTCAACTCCGGAAACAGTGACCAAAATCAACCAAATTGTGCGTGCAGATCGTCGAAAAAGCATCCGAATGATTTCCGAGGCTGTAAACGTCGATAAAGAAACGGTTAGAAAAATTTTACATGAGGAATTACACATGACAAAAGTCTGTGCGAAGTTGATGCCAAAAAACCTGACTCCTGACCAAAAGCTCTTGCGTCAACAGGTCTGCTCAGATTTCCTTGAAAGGTTAGAAGAAGATCCCGGACTGATGAAAAACATTACTTACGACGAAACGTGGATTTTTCAATACGATGTTGAAACAAAGCGGCAATCGATGCATTGGAAGAAGCTTAAATCGCCCAGAATCAAAAAAGCAAGGATATCCAATTAAAAATTCAAGGCAATGTTGATCGTTTTTTTTAACTTTAACGGTATTGTGATGACTGAATGGGTTCCAGAGGGTCAGACTATAAACCAGACTTACTATTTATCAGTTTTAGCAACTCTGCGAGAACGAGTTCGTAAGAAACGGCCCGAGTTCTGGAAGAACAACTCGTGGATTTTGCACCAGGACAACGCACCTGCCCATAACGCGCTATCTGTGAAGCAATATTTGGCCGGTAAGCGCATTTCAGTGCTCGAACAAGCGCCGTATTCACCAGATTTGGCACCGTGTGACTTTTTTTGGTTTCCAAAGATAAAATCTGCTTTGAAAGGGACCCGATTTGAGTCGATGGAAGCGGTAAAGCAAAAAACGGCAGAGCTCCTAAAGGCCCTTACCAAAGAAGACTTCCAGCATTGTTTCAATCAATGGAAAAAACGTATGGAAAGGTGTGTGGCGAGGGGAGGGGAGTATATTGAAGGGGAGCATTCGAATGTAGAATAATTTTTATTATAAAACCATTTTTCGTAACCAGTCTTGTTATTTAATAGCCAGACCTCGTATTCTGCTTTTCTGTTCTAATTTGTATTCTTTGCTTCATATCTATGGCCTGTAACTTGTACAGTTAATAGTAATTATTAATTTTATTACTATACCACTGCTGCTCTATGAATTATATGGAAAAAACAGATAAAAGTGTCCTGGGAAATGGAAAAAAACAACCAGTACATTGAGTTCCTGGTTACTAAATGAAAATTGAGTCTAAAATAAAATAAGAATAATACGTATTGTTAAATAGTCCGAAAAAGTACAATATTTATGTTCAAACGTACTAGTTACACCTAAGGTGACCAAGCATAATAAATATTATAAATATTATTAATAATAACTGATAAATATAACAACAATAACTAAGCAGAAATTACTATTATTACATCCAAACAACATATAACCAAGGCAATTAACTGTAGGAAGTATTAATATGTAGCCATTTTTAAATTTTGTTGATATAATTACTACCCTGGCAAATTTTTAATTTAACACTGTGGTATGTCAACAAATATACTAATACTTATGGATGGTCTAGCAGCGGCCCAAACAATTTTTTATCATATTAAAATTAGTAATTTTATAGACATAAATTTTATATACCTATTAATTTTATAAACTAATTGACAATTTGTGAAATAGTTAAAAAAAATGTATCGTTCTGCGTGCGTAACGAGCGGCTTTGTAAAGCATGTTTTGTCAAAAGGGCCTATATAAAATGTCAGCTCCAGGGCCCAATAGGTGCTTAATCCGGATTAAGTGCTTGTGGATGGTTAATAAGTCAGAAAAGCAGTAGTGACCACGATAATAATTAATAAAAACCAAAATATTTAAGGATACAATTCTCAGCCCTCTTTCAGCAGGATTAGTCAGCAGTAAACCTCTTGGTAAATACACCATTTCATTTTGTTCTACTATAAATTTTCCAACTTTTCGTAAACACTGAAAATACATTATTATTTTACAATTTTATTTTAGTGTGAATAGGAAAATATTTAAATTTACTTACTTTTTCATAGTGTGTATCTGCACATAGAAACATGGTGTAAACAGTAAAACAAGCAAAACAACCTTCACAGTATGTTTTACATGATGCTTTTTCTGCTTCAGCAAAATATGTATTTAACTGATTGATTGTATACTCAAAAACTGAACGCTCAATCTGTGATTATGTAATATTTAACACATTAAACAATTAAAAAAAAAATAACTATAATACTCAGTGATTAAGATTCTTACTTTGTTTTCAAGCCCTTGTGGAAAATTTGTCATGAATTTAACAGCTGTACCATCAGAGTAATCGCGTTGGACAAATACTTTGGCATATTGCGGCCCTTGGGTCTGAGTTGTTGTGTTTCCTTGAGATGACCTAATTGTTGGCGGTGACATTGTGTCTGTGTATAAAGATACGAATTTACAAAGGAATAAATAGTGTTTTGATTTTACAAAACAAAGATTAATTTCTATGACGGTGTTATACTTCACCAATTATACTGGTTTGTATAATATTCTAAAAATTATTTGCAATACCGTAAACAAATTATGTTTTATGCTATAGATTTAACAGTAATTTAATTTCTGTGTAATAAGTGTTCTCCAATTTTTATAAATAGTCTCCAAATATAAAAATACATACAAAACAAATAATAAAAATATTATTAGTGGTATATTATTGTAAATAAAAAAAAAGTTAGCGAGTTATTTTTTTTATAATAGAAAATGGAACAACTCAAACTATATAGATAATGGAACACAACTATGATATCTGATAACGCTATATAAGATAACTCTAACAGCAAATATAAATGTTAAGGAATAAAAAGTAAACACCGTGTCAACGATTAATATTCATAATAATTTTTTATAATTAATATTTAATTATGATTACTAATAATCAGACACGTTCACGAAAAAAAAAAAATTGGTGAGGTTCATAAAAAATGTACAATAATGAAAATTACATATATTTTATTACGTGTAGACAGTGGTGTATTGGAGGGTATATGGGGGTATACGGCGTATACCCAATACGCTATTTTTATCCATAGCGTATAGTTAATGAGAAATTTATGATACGTGGGTATACAGCCGTATGTAACGTATATCTTGTAATTTGACAAAGACAAATGACTACATAATACCTTTACTAACCTAATTTGTGGTTATATTTATGACGTGTATTAAGTATTACTATTTTTCTTCTTTTTTTTTTTTTTAATGAAAAATTGAAATTTGTTATCATTTAACAACGAGTTTCTGTTATGAAATAGTCATAATTTAAGATGTGTAGTTCATGAGTCAGTTTTTTACCATATGATAGTTACTACATGAAATAAGGCGTATATCCATGATTTATTTTAGCAATACATCACCGCGTGTAGATGAAATTCGTTTAAATAAATAATAAATAGTCCAAAATTAATTAGGTTAGGTATCATTTGATGTAAAACTTAATATCTATTAAAGTACGAAATTCCACTTTCATGATAATCTGGAAAATGTATTTATAACTTCTTCCATGTTTATATCATAATTTCGGTTTATGTTAAGAAGAGCCAATTAAGTAAGTCCAGTAACTTGACCAATATTGTTTCTGTATTGTATAATTTGGACATCATATGGTGATTAGTAAATCTACCTTTTAGATGAAAAATAAAATGGTCCAGAAAAGGTAAAAACAGCAAAAAAAAATTAAAAAAAGCAGGGGCGGACTGGCAGGGCGGGTAGGTGACCATACCCAGGCCTTCTAACAATGTTGTGTTTGGGCCTTAAGCTATATTTTGTTATTTTAACGCCACGCCATAATCGTTAAAGATAGCTGAAAACGAAGGAAAAAATACAATATACAATAATAGAATTGGGATAGTCCGACTGCAGCCACGGTGGCTATGAAAATTATTATTAGATTCATTCTTGGAATTAAATAACGATATACGTAGTAAAGGTCTGCACGGGCCAATACTTTACAGGTAACATTTTTAGAAAGTCCGGCCCGACCTGGCCCGATAAAATTTTTAGATAGTCCGGCCCGGTTAGAAATGAAAAAATATTTAGTTTTTTGAATAACAAATTAAGTAGTAAGTACTAAGTACCTAATATATTATAACTAACTTTTAAAATATTATTAATTTAAAACATCACTTTTAATACAATTTCAAAAAGTTGTTTGTCTTTAACAACATATTTAAAAATAAAAAAACATCTTATAGAATTAATATAAAATTTAAACAACTGTAGTAGAGAGGGCACTTAAATATTTAATAATTTAATTAATAATTAATAAAATAACACTGCCACCAGTATCCTGCCACTATCAGGATCACCTGGCGCATATGTATACAAAAAATAAACACACAACACTCTTAAATATTAAATATATAATATTAA